CTTGAGCCCAGGAGTTGGAGGTTGCTGTGAGCAGTGAAGCCATGGCACTCTGCCCAGGGGGACAGCTTGAGGCTCTGTCTCAAAAAAAAAAAAAAAAAAAAATATATATATATATATATATAAAAAAAGAGAGACAAACTAGTTTCTAAAAAAATGTCACAGCTCGGCACCTGTAGCTCAGCGGCTGGGGCACCAGCCACATACACCGGAGCTGGTGGGTTCAGGTGTACTACCAGGTCTACCAGACAACAACTACAACCAAAAAATAGCTGGGCTTTGTATCGGGTACCTGTAGTCCCAACTACTTAGGAGGCTAAGGCAAGAGAATCGCTTAAGCCCAAGAGTTGGAGGTGGTTGTGAGCTGTGATGCCATGGCACTGTACCAAGGGGGCCATAGTGAGACTCTGTCTCAAAAAAAAAGAAATGTCAGGGCGGTGCCTATGGCTCAAAGGAGTAGGGCGCTGGCCCCATATGCTTGAGGTGGCGGGTTCAAACCCAACCCCGGCCAAAAACTGCAAAAAAAAAAAAAAACAACAACAACGAAATGTCACATATTTAGTAGCCCTTCATCCACAAACGGCAGGCATCTGAACCAGTGCTCTAAATTTTTAAATCAGCATTTACAAAGTGGTGAATTCACTCTGCTGATACTTACTAAGCACTACTCTGCTAAGTAAGCGCTGTTTTTGAAACTGGGACAAAACTAATTCCCTGGCCTCAAGGAGCTCATCTTCTGGGGGAAGAGGCAGATGGATAAGAAAATGAACGTCTAATATGTCAGGTAGTGAGAAGCACTGTGAACACAAGTAGAATAGATTAAGAACATAAGGCACAGTGGCAGGAGATTGCTATTTTATGAAGAGTGGCGAGAGAAAGCCTCTTTGTTAGGAAGTGAGAGAGTGAATCATGGGAGTATCAGCGAAAGAGTGTTCCATGCAGAGGAAACACTGGAAGGAGGAGTGTAGAAGCTCTGTGATGGGAGTCTGCATGGGGTGTTAAAAGAAAAGAAGGCCGGGATGGATGGGCAGAGCAAGTGTCCGGAGTGGGGGAGGTGAGACACCAGAGGTGGCAGGGCCAATTGTGCAGGATGAAGGAAGACTACTGGAGGGTTTCGAGTAGAGGAGTGACATAATTTTTCAGCTGTTTATTTTGCAAATTTCCAAAGCTACAGAAAAGTTATAATAACGGTACAAAGAACAAATGTATACCCTCACCTCCATTCACCATTTAGTAACATTTTGCCCCATATGCTTCTCCCCTGCCACATAGACACAACCCTCTTCTCTCTCACTTTTCTTGCTGAACCAGTTAACAAAGAGGTCTTGCTAACCTCTTGAATCTTCACCCCAAAATATTTCAATGTAGGCTCAGCACCTGTGGCTCAAGTGGCTAAGGCGCCAGCCATATACACCTAAGGTGGCAAGTTCAAATCCAGCCCGGGCCCGCCAAA